ATATTTTCCATTTAAAGACAAACATGAGACTTTTTAGGTAGAATCTAGATGAGACAAGTAGAGTTGAAATTGCAAAAATTACTTAATGGTTGTTGGACATAGGTGATAAAAAAAATAAGATGTACAAATTGTGAGAATAAGAAAAAAAAAGACGGATAAAAATTTCATAAGATTTGTTAGTTCTTTGCACTGGTGATCCCATAGGTAGCATGGTCTTTACAGTATACTATAATTTTTAGTACAATTACTTAAACCCTGAATATTTGATACAAAGAGCAATTGTTACTTCTTATAATGAAAGTGTAGATTTGATCAATTGTTATGTTCTTGATTTGGTTCCAGGCAATATGAAAACTTATCTAGGCAATGATTATATTTCAAAAGAATCAGATTAAATGGCCAACCAAGATTTGCTATATCCTACCAAGTTTTTGAACTCTTTAAAATTCTCTAGGATTCATAACCATGAATTGAATTTAAAAATTGATATTGTTATCATGCTTTTAAAAAATATAAATAAAAACTTAGGTCTATACAATGATACTAGACTTTTGGTCACTTAGTTAGCTCATAATGTTATTAAAGGTAGAATTTTATTTGTAACTCATATGATAAAGTTTTCATTCCAAGAATTATTCTTACTATTAAACATTAGAAATGGTCTTTTGTCTTAAATAGAAAATAGTTTCATGTAAGATTTTGTTATACTATGATTATCAATAAGAGTCAATGACAAAAGCTTAACATTGTTGGACTTTTCCTACCTAAACTTATCTTTATGCATAATTAGATGTATATAGCTATTTCAAAAGCAACATCCAAGTAAGGTCTTAAGATTTTGATCTATAATGAAAATGAAGAACCAACTAATGAAACAAAAAAAAAAATTGTTTATAAGGAAGTTTCAAGAATTTAGGTTTAAAAAAGTGATTTATTAACTGCCTGTTTCATTTGTTTTTTTTTTATGTTACTTGTAATTCTTACATATTATCTAATTTGTTTAAGCTATTCATTTATTTTGGTTATACTAATCTCAACCTTTGTTTTTTCAAGTTTTTACCAATAAGTTGTTAGTTTTTCAATGAGCTTTATTCTTCCAATTGTGTATGAAGTATTAAAATCAAAATTGTGAGGTTTGAGAAAGATGTCAATCTTGCAGAATTGGATAATATTCTAAACCTTGAATTCATGAGAACTAATGCATAGGTAAGTCCATTTACAGAAATTGTGAATATTGTCAGAATCTGTAATTTTATTGCCATGGATAACCATTTCACAGTTCCTTTGTACAAATGTTATTTTTTTGTAGAAAAATGCAATACATTTTTACACAAAGGGATTTGATACACCATTATACTATGAGATTTTAAAAAAAGGCTGTTTATATTCAAAGACTTAATTTCAAGGTAGGAATTGCAAGTATAACTACAATGCTATTATTAGATTATTCAATATTTGTCTAACAAGAGCAACTAAGGTTAAAAAAAATATATGAAAACTTGACTTCATATCTTGAGCATTTTTTTTAACTTCGTATCTTATGACAAACTTAATGACAAAATCATTCATGACAAATATTTAACATGTTACACTTGTGATTATGTTTATACTTAAGGTAGTTTTTTTTTTCTTTTGTTTCCTATTAACTTATTATTGTGATCATATTTCATTAGAGTTTTAGTGTCAATTGCACCAATCTTGCAAGTTTGATTGAATAACAGAGTTGATGATGTTGCAAAGCGAGATGTTTATGTTCAAAATATTAGGTTCATTATTCATTTAGAAAACATCCTGCATACAATTTGAAACATTTGCATGATGATTTGTTTACTGTGCCATTGTTTGTTATTAATAACAATAATGTTTGTCGACAAATAGGGGATATTGTTTAAAGATTGTTTTTTATGGACCTATGGTATATGTAATCAAAGAAGAAGCTTTTGTTCAACAAATAAAGAATTGTATGCTTATTTTTGTTGGAATGATAGTCAAAAAAATATATGGGTTTATTTTTTTTTAAAGACAAGAGCTTATGTTTATGATTTTTATGACCCTTTGTAATAATTGTTGATAAAGGTGATTTAGATACATGTTTTTTACTATATTCGTATAAGAAAAATCTACTTAGCATCAAATTTAGCGATAAAATTTTATGTGGATTTTAATATTGCAGAGACGAGAATTCAAAGAACGATAATATAACAATTATGACATGTTTTATTTTTTCAGTAGATACATATCAATTTGTTCTTTACATTGTTTCCTTACAAACACGTGTTCTATTAGTTATGATATTGATCCAATCCATGTAGACCTAGTATGACAGCAAGAACATCATCCTTAGAATGTGTTTGTGCAAAAACCTAGGCAAAATGTAGTAATTGTAGATTTGTTTGCTATTAATCTAACAAGTGCTCAAGGTTTTTAATTGTTTCTTTAATAAAATATGTTACATTTAATAAGCACATATGAAAGTGCTAGTTGTAGTATTCATTTATTCTTTTAGTAGAACATTATTTTCAGCATCAAAGCCAAGATTATTGATGTTGATCCAACCAATGGATGAATTTAAAATGTATACAATGAATATGTCAATACTCTCTAGTTTTATGCAAACAAATTTTGGTGCTTGTAATATAGTTAAAAAAATTTTTTATTGCTGTTAGTTTTTACTGATATGTAACGTAAAATGTTGTTTTTTTCATCTTACTTCCCATAATTAGACTATAATTACCAAGTTATTTCTCAAATCTTCCAAAGTCAAAGTGCAAACTCTTATAGAATATGACATTATATAAATGCAATTAATAGTATTTGGTCAATCCACAGAAAAGTTGACTGGTGCTATATTTACATAATTGTTAGAGCTAAGCCTAATGAATAAATTGGTGCTTCTAAGGCTAATCAAATTATTGATAAATGAATCAAGATGCTTGATGTTGTTTTGACTTTGAGAGCAATCAAGATAGATATCATTGTATACAAACCATTTGATTGCGATGATTCAAAAATGAGACAAAAAAAAAACTTGAAGCTAAATCCTCTAAAATCACTTAATTTGGAGAAAATCTTAAAAACCTTGCTGCATAAATAGTTTTTGAGGTATTACAGCAACACCCATAATCATCCATAGATATAGTTGAAGCCATTAAAGTTATGGCCTTGAAAAAAGCTCTACCATTTTCAATAGAAACTACCTTTCAAGACATTGATAATTTGCTATACTAGAGTCATATTTGTTCGACACTATAGCTAGCACCCCACCTATA